GAGATATTCCCTGAGGATGCTCAAAATGTCTTTCCCATTAGAGCACAGATTAAACACAACCCCAGAAGGCAGAATGATTTTGACTTGAAAATTGATAGAAAAGCCCAACGGGATGCTGAGAAATGAGCGTTGATCCATTCTTAATACCGTATTCTTTTAATCGATGTGAATCTTCAAGAACCGGACCTTGGAAGATCAATGTTTGATTCTCCGTTGGGACTTGCTTTTGTTATGCGATTCCTGCCTTGAGACATAAGACCTCATAATCATCCCCAAACTCACCGTAAACCTGCCCGTCAAAGTCACAAACGCGCTTGCAACGTACACGACATTCTTTATGCAAGTACGCTGTGTTTTGTGCTCTGTATTAATGTTCGAAGAAAGCGTCGGGTAGAAGCGCGAGTCTGCTTGTAAATCGCGCAGCATGTTAACCATATGAGCCTAGCAGATATCCCTTCAACAGCTCCTGATCGCCTTCATTGGTTAAATGCGCAGCTTTGGGGCCCTTTTGCAGGAGTATCTTGCCAGCGCAATCGTCAAGCGTGGAAAATATCCTGCGTTTGCCCGATGACTAAAAGCTGCGCAGGACTTGGAGTAGCTCCAAGGTGTGGACAGTAGTCATGCTCTTTTTTGCGACATCTACGTGATGTTGTACCGATGCAAACCCACCCATAATATCTTACTTGTGCTTCATTTGATCGTCACACCTGAAATTGCTTCAAGAACGCCCCGATTAAGGCTAAGAGGTGTACACAAAATGTCATCTTACGAATAAAAGTGAGCTGCGACTGCTTGTTTTTACTAACGTCTTAACTAATGCTTTGATAACAATTCTGACAAAGGTTTACCGACAAAATGAGCGGCTGGAGGTGAAGGGAGACTTTCTTGTATTTTCCACTCAAGGTGGCAGCATAAATCCAAGGAAACAACAAATCTATGAACTAGTCAGGGGTACAACAACAGAAACAGTAGTATGTCACCGGACGTTAGACGGAATTATCTTTCATTGAGCCAAAATGGGAAGAACTCTGTGAACTCGGTTGAATTCAAATTAATGACAGAAAAGGCTACTTAAAACGAGAACCGAGGGTAGGTGAAAGAGAACCGGCTGCACGAATAGAAGCAAATATGCGTGTCCCAGGTTCTTGTTGTAAAGAAGCAGAAAACTCAATCTCTGGAACGGTAATTTTATTCGCCTCAGCTTTCGACTCCACACGAGCAGCCATCGTCAGAGAAAGTAAGAAACAGCAAGAGTTAGCTACGTGTAAATGAGGGTGGGAGGGGGCTCGCAATTGTGATTAGTAAATGCTCACGACACGTCCATTCTCACGCCATCTTACCATGTGTCGCCTACGAGCGTCCCTGGAGTTGTGGCGTATGACCTTGACGTGACAGCCTGCATGTTTGTACGGAAACTGGGCCGCGGTTTCGGGTCGCGAGTACGGATGGCAAAGTAACAGGGCGGTATATCCACATGCCTGTTGATGGAGTTAGAATCTGACACCCAGGTTTCCAGCAGTTCTCGACCAGTCTTATTACTGTGCACACGGATAATGGCACGAGCCAGTAACTTGATCTGCTTGTTTAGAACTGACTCCTTTCACCTCGAAGTCAAATATTGGAAGTACACTCGTGGATCAATTCTCTGTTTATTAGCGCTGTTTAAAGACACTTAAATGAAGATACGATTGTTTTGCAAAACCTTTTTTTTGCCAACTGTCCACATTTAGCTGACACAAAACGCATGCTAACGAAATTTGCGGACCATTTGGGACTGTAAAATGCAAAATGTCCAGTGCGCTCTGTCATAATAAACGTATTACTATGGTAAAACGATGACAATGTGCACATTGTTGCTCTGTATGAGCAAAAAGAAACACCAGAATTGGATAGAAGAGTAGGCAGTCTTTTACACCAATCAGCCATTGGGCTTTTTAAAACGATACTTGACGAAAAAACTAACGATTAAATCAGCCTAGAGTTCAGCAAGCCCCCACTTTCAACAATAACTGTAGGAGACAAAACTGCTGCGCGAGAGAATATGGAGGAGAAGGTTAGATTGATACGATGTACTCAAAAATCTCGGTTGGTATTTTTCAGAAGATTTAAAAGCTGAAAGGAATTTGAGGGATTTGAGGAGAAATTAAAAAGCCATCATCTATGGAAGGTCAATATACGCGCGAGATAGGATAGCGGATAAATATAATCCGCTGTTTAAGTTATAAAATTCACAAGCATCGCTGGAGAACCGACTGCTTAGATAGGCCTTATACGTGTAAGGGTGTAATTTTCCATCACTGCAGGCGTTTGCATTTGTTGCAGCAATGGCTTGACTACACACCATGGAGGCGTCAACTACTGTCATTTCACTAATTTTGCTGATTATTCGTGTAATCGATTCTTAGGTGTTTGGCTCACTGAGTATGCGTTCGCTAGCGTGTTCCTCGC